GCTACGGGTCCTCCCTGCGTTTCTGTCACCAGAGTCATGTCAGTGCTTAACAGCGGGAGCCAGCAACGCTTCGGCTTTTGCAGGGTAGGCTGTAGGCCAAACATTGCGGTGTGGGATTGTTAAATTGGATTTCAGGGGCTGCTAAATCTAGAATTAAAGGATGCGGGCATGAGTTGATGCAACTTCTGCGGGAGGTTGGCTTCCAAAGTTTGGTGGAAATAAGCACCGGTTAAGTTGACTGTGTGTATATATACAGAGAGGCTGCATTCTCATGGCCCAGCTTACAGGACAGGTAGAGGCCAAGGCCCAACTTTGGCTTAGACATTTAGGATGGGCATGTTTCTATTGAAGGGGCTGGTGGTTACATTACCTGTGAATTAGAAAGCAAAACGAAGATATGATGAGGAGTGTATTTGAGCTGTATTTCTGTTAAAGCTGGTTCCCCCTCCCCAACCCCCTCCTTTAATAAAGGAAAAAAAGAAAATCCCAAACAGGGGATGCACTTTTTGGAGAGTAACAGGCCCAAAGCACAAACCCTTCCCCTTTGAACTTCTGCTTCTGTGCTGTCACTGCGCATGTACCGCCTGTGCGGCTGCAGGTACACCCGGGGCATTAGCTCTAACAGAGAAAGGCAATAGAATTGTCTTCTGCTTGTTTTCATGTTATGTGGTACTGAAATGCAAGTCCTTGTTTATGCATTACTAATAAAAAGTTCTTTAAAATGACAATGCATTGCGCTCGCTTTCTTGAGCTAACTGTAAAGACGGTGAGTGTCATTTCTTACACAACGCAGCTAGTAAGGGCATGTTCCACATTTGTTTGGTCAGGTAGAGCCCTGAACCTTAGCTGCTGCAGACTTTAACTAGGTTAGAAACAAAATTACGGAAGAGTAAGAAGGGGAAGTATTGTACCAGCAGGGCCCCAAATTAGGAGCCCTTATGGATGATTTGACTTGCAGGTGCCTTCCAATAAAATGAGAGTCATACCTCAATCACCTCAGCTGTGGAAAAATTAAGAGGACAGGGCTTGTGCTTCACAAAAATGCCTTTTCATTGAACAAATTTGTAGCGAAAGCATGACCTGCTTCCTGGAGCTGCGATTAAAAGGCTAGCCCATAACCTGCATGATTCTGACCGGTGGCAAGTAGTGTTAGCGGGCCAAGAAGATAGTTTATTAGATAAATAAGGTCTTATTTACAAGTGAAGGCTAATCTTTTCAGAGGGCCCTCTCCTGTTCTACTACAAAATGAAGCAGCTGCCAGACCCAAGTGGAGTTACCAGTTCAGGCACAGAGGACCCCCGCAGAGCTTTTGACCAGTAGGATGTGTGGCTTACAGTGAGCTCCAGGGAGCCTGGTACTGGGTCCTGCTGCTTACCCAGCACAGACTAACGCGAATAATTTTTCTGCAGCCTTCTCTGAAAACGGACAGCCCATTTCCTATTACAGCAGTTACACCCAGAAGTGGTTTTTTTTAAACTGAGGATGTCATTTATTTAAGATAGCACCATAGTGTACATAGACACTTTACAGAATCCTGCCCTTCACAGCTTACAATCTAGGAAGATGCAAGAATAGGAAAGCTGTTACACACTGCTCCACCTGAAGGTTTAAATGAAAAGTGGCACATCAAGGAATGTCACTGGTCATCTTACTCGGTGCTACTTTATTACATCATCACATACATCAATGCCTGATATGTGCTATACATCAATTCCTGATACATGCTAAGTGCTGCAGTTCAGTGCCTTTACCTGCGTTAAGCAAGTCTTTCAAGAATACTGCAACTTACACTAGGGTTGCCCGCTTCCCAACAAATATGACCCTTCCCCCATCGTGCCTGCTGACCTGATGGGGGAAAAGAAGTGAGAAGTGTGGGGGAGCATGGAGGACTCACACTGGCGCAAGGGCAAGTCAGAAAAAAAAGGAAAGGAAAAAAAAAAAAAAAGGATCGTCTACACAAAACCGATTACACACACAACCATTTGATTACACTGTTTTAAGTTAACGCCTTTTGTTGCTAACATGAGCCTGTCCGCACTAGCACAAAAACCAGGCATCAACCAGAAACCAGTTTACCTCAAGTTTGGTATCTTCAACATCTTAAAATCCTTTAGGGCCAAGAGCTAACATGCCCAGTTTGGCAAGCTCTGGGAACCACTGCTGCCATCTTCCCTCACTGTTTCCCCGTGGTCAGGAACCAGCTATCCCCAGCTCCATCCTTCCACAGCAGGCGTGTGCGACGGAGCTGTAGTTACTGGGCAGGGTGAGCAGCCACACTTCTAACCAGTCTGGAGACTTGATACACTGGCACTAAATTCTTAAAACCAAACTACCCCCCCCCAATACCTCCCCACTCCCTTTCCCTTGAACTGCAACCTCATGGCTGAGAAACACTGAACTGCAAGCCTCAGCGGCTTGAACAACAGCAGCGAACACCCTCCCTCCCCCAACACACAAAACTCTACTTTAATTCTATTTTCAACTCTCAAAGTGCAGAATTCTTATTCAAAATGGCACTTGCGACCCATTAATCAGCATGGTTACAAGTGCTGAGCTTTCTTCTGCTTGGTCCCCAGCGCTTCAAGATCCTTCCAAGTTAATGAGTGTTGACTTAATGCCATTTGTGCTTTATAAACTTTTTTCCTCCTATGTACCCGGCTGTTTCTGCACCAATCCAAAAAGCTACACCCCCCCGGCTCCCACAAGCAGCCGGCCACTTTCCCTCACATGTGGCTTTCTGTCTTTGACAGACACCTCAAGTCAATGCACGTGACATAAGACTGACTTCAGAAATATTTTTTTAGCCATTTCCAGTAAATAAAGAAAAGATGGGGAAGTTTCCGTAGGGAAGGACCAAGATAAGCAATTCCAAAGGCAGGGGTTTTTTTGCCCCAAGGGTCAAGTCAGACTGTAACAGCGACAGAACTGGAGTGGAAATGGAATGCCTCAAAAACTGTGTTATGCACAGCAGGGCTGAACACCCAGCTACAGATCCCATCAGATCCCACGGAGAAGAGTCACATGGTCTTCACAAGGGAGAAGAAGGGTGGGAGCCCCATATGCAAACTAGACGGGCAGAAAGCAGAAGAGTGAAAATGTCCAGGAAAGCTTACAGGAAATTAAGAATCACTTCACCTGCTAAACACTGGTGCGTACTTGGTCCCAGCGTGACCGCTGCCTGCAAGGTCCTTTGTACGCCCTGGCAAAATGAGCAACCATGGGAAGATCGATAAGCCCAGAGGTGCAGGAGTGTCACCTACCCCAAAGACAAGGTAAGAAGCAGCAGCACTGTCCGGCAGCAAAGAGAGGCAGCTGGGTGACAGAACTGGCCTCTGGAAGAAATTAGTCTTTTTCCAACCCAAAGCTTCCCCACTCACATTTAGCCTAGAGAAAAGCAGAAGAGGACTGAGCACAAGCAGGCAAGGTGCTGATCCGTAGCAAGTGGAGCAGCAGACAGATCGGAAAACCAAGCATCTAGCCATATAGTTCCCAAGTAGCACGAAACGTGCAGAGGAAGCAGCCCAAAAACAGTGGGAAATGAAACAGAAAGGAGATGCTGCAAGACAGGCAGATAAGGATTTGTTTCTGGAAGAAGGAAACAAAGTGCAAAGAAAGTAATCCAGAAAACTGATGTGTAACTGGTACTGACCCTACGGTGTGGCAGAGGAGTTCAGCCCTAGACAGAATATAGGAGCCTGTGGTGACTTTCTGGGACACCAGTGACTGGAAGGTGCTGTACACAAGTCAGTCAGCTGATACTAATAATAGTGTTGTCTTAACACTAATAACAGCAATTATTTCAAATCTGATGCAAGAAGCGGCTTTAGACAATTTTTCTTCCAAACCGAAGAAATACATGAACTTCTCCAAAGACTTTTCTACCCCCCCCGACAGTTGTTTTCATCATCTCCAGTAGGCATGTACGGAAATGCTCTAGTACAGACTTCCACACACACACACTTACTCATCTTGTCCTTTCGTTCACAGAGCTCTGCCATAGCTGCACTCCCCTTCCTAGCAGAATGTCACCAGGAGCTAGAACATCATCTTCTGCATTCTTTAGCCAGGAAGTGGCATCACTCCTCTGAGAAGCACAACTGACCTGCACCAAAGCTATCCAGCGTATCTTCCGGAAAGGGGTTGCTATCAGCCTTTAAGCTCCAAGTTTCTGTTCCAAAATAAGAAAGGCTTTAGGTCCATATAAAAAGAGCAATGTAAATATTAGCTACTCATTTAATTGCTTTCGACTAATACGTCTATTTTTTTAAATGAAGTTTATTCATTAGGCTCATGTAATTTAGTGAGACTACAGTTACACCCAAATTAATGTTCACTTTCAAACTAACCAGAATACGAACACTGAAATTTTCCTCAAGCTACAGACACTTTAAAATCACCAGATCAAAACAGTGACCAACATTTTACTCTTCTAGTTTTTTAGAAGTTACTCATGCTCTTTAACAGCTTCCTAAACACACGCTTGTCACTTGAACGAGTAAACATCCTTGCAACATTTATTTCACTTTGTGCGCACACCAAAAAAATAAGTTAAAAATGCCCTAACAGAGGGCTGTCTAAGAAACGTATACTACACCTGGACCAAATATGAAAATTTTGTGAACATCAGACAAGGCTAGGACTGTTACCAATATCTATTTATGCACGTTTTATAGGAAGCAATTTCTGTAGTTACTGGAGTATTTTTCCAGATAATGAGAAGCATTTAAAATGATCCTGAAACCATTTTGTACCAATGCAGAGAAGTGTTGAAAAAATTCGGTTACACGGGTAGTCAGTAGTTACTAGAAAGCACTCAAAAAGGACAGTCCATTTGTTTTTCTTGTACTCCATGTTTTCTCCATTCAGGGCATGAAAAGTACATGTTCATGAAACCTTACCATTTGGATTCCAAATGTCCTGCTTATTTCTCATTTCAACTCTTCTGGTTATTGCACCAGTCTCTCCCTCAGTTAAGACATGATGTGAAGAGCAAGGACCAGTGGAACAGCACAGTCTCTTCATTCAAGTAGCCTACAAGTACCCTTCTTAGAGATAAATAAGAGAAGTATTTTCCAGCACCTTCCAGGAATTACTAGTCCTCTCCTCATAAGGAGGGGAGGAACTAGGGCAAGTTAATAAATATGAAAATAAATTACACCCTTCTCCCCATTTGAAAACTGTTTTAGGCTATTAACATCAATAGAAACTTTATCTTTGTTCGGATACAAACATCTAAGAGGTAAAGTATCTGCGTTGTTCTGTTATGTTCAGGCAGCACATTTAAACAATGTAAGAAAAGTTAGTACCACACAGGTTTTAGCTTTTTGGGATGATCCTCTAGATAGATATCTAGATATCTATCTATCTATCTATCGAGAGAGAGAGAGTGATCTATATAGATATCTAGATATCTATCTAGATAGATATCTAATTCTACAGTATCATGTTCTGACTCATGTAGTTCCTTTTAAATGGTCATAAGACACTATCAGATCACAGAACAGACAAAATTCAGTGCTCTAGTACCTATCAGCCCTTCACAGAACAAATGTTCACATGGAAAACCCTTAATATGACACATGCGTTCTTTTCAAGTTTGAGTACGAAAAACCGAGATGGTGTAAATATAACATACTCCCTATCTTTGTTATAAAAGGCACATTTAGGCAGTTTTAAATGTGCTAAATGTTTTGTTTCCAGTGTTAAACATAAATTAGTTAAATGAAAAGAGCATCTGCGGGAGGTCAATTTAGTCTTCAGTAGGCAACAGGAGCTGCTGTGGAGGTGATGGATGAGGTTGCTTTTCCGCTGATCCAATATTCTTATAAATATATAAAACCTCTGCAGATCAACCTTGGAAGGGAGATCTACAAAGCAGTCTGCAGAATAAAATTTTTCTGTCAGTTACTTGGTATTTTTGGTTTTATTGTTCTGTTGATGCTGCTGCCATGGCTGGTTTCATGCCCTCACGCGTTGACTTCAGCTCCTCCAATTCTGTGTTTAGTTTGCTGATCACCCACTCCAGGGCATCCCGACCCTGCCAGGAAAATACTGGAATTTAGGATCAGGACAGATACACCACCACTGCTCATGTTTCTATAGTTTTTCCTCTGTCAGACATGAGACTTGTTTTAAAATTAATTTCATGCCCTGCATAGTTTGATACCAGATTATATTGATAACTTCTTAGCATGTTCTTATGGAAACTTCACTGCAAAGGCATTTGCTTAACCCATAAGCAAGAAGTAAATGCAATATTGGTGTGAGCTCCCAGTAGGCAAAAAGCCTAATTCAGCAGTGAAGTTCCCTTATGTAAGAGTATTGCTGTTTTTATACTGTTTGCTTCTCCCACCACCCAAAGAATATCAGCAAATCTATGGCAAAGTCTAGATACTGTTCTCAGATTCATTAACCAAGTTGTATGGACAGTTTTTGAGAAGATCCAGGACAAAGAAAGATAGTCTTCCAAGTGCTCTTTGAAGTAGCAACTAATTGATTTGATATCTAGCAAGAGTTCAGGGATGGACTCGCACTGTCTATATTCATACACAGCAACTTTTCAGCATATAAAACAGACTAATTGAGAGACTACAGTCGCACATTTTATATCAAGGTACGGTCTTTCTCTGTTCAGTTCTCAGAATGGGAGTGCCTCAAAGCCAGGCGTTGACAGCCAATGCTTTAGTAAGAGCTGGGGAATCCAGCAAAATAAGCATGTCAAAAATCTTTTACCTTAAGAAGACCCTGTACCAGCTGCACCCCAATGACCACAAGATGAACACGCAGCCAGCCGCACAATGAAGCCAAGAAAACAGAGAAGCACTTTAACTAAACAAAAGTGCAAGATTTTAGAGCTCCACAATCTCAGAATGACAGCGTTTGCCAAAACAAGCAGACGGGATCAGACCAGGAAAACACCTGGCCTTTTTTCCCTTAAAGAGAAGCCAAGAGACATTCACCTCTATTACCCTACTAAGAATAAGAAGTACAAACAGTGGAGAGCAGTAACTCAGAGCCACATGGCTCTGGCCAAGTCTAGAGGAGTTCTGGAGATAAAGGGTCTGAGCCGAAAAAGTCCTAAGTCTTCAGGAGAGCCAGTGTCAGTGCCCAAGCCCTCTGCAGAGATTGAGGGAAAGGGAGGGAACAGCCCTCCACACACACACAGAGTTGTTCTGAACTCTGATGTACTATTTTTGTTGCGTGCATTATAGGTGATAAAGTGAACAAAAACCTCTTAAAGTGTCCAGAACCTGCTGTTGTCCTTTATAAACGACTAAGCATGAACAAGAATCTGCATAAACAGCTTTGAAAACCTAAAAAAACCCCCACAAACGTCAAAACAAGACCCACACATACTCTTGAACAATTTTTTTGGAGGCTAGAAACATTACTCTGGAATAATACTAAAAGTCCAGTTCCAGGCTGCAAAGTGTAACCTATTAAAAGAAATAAAGTTTTACTATGAATAAGAACATATTTACCGCAAGACCCTCACTAAGTTCAGTGAAGGGCTGACTCTGTTTCTCTTCAGGTTTTTCATATTACAGGGACTCACAGAATAAACACTAATTGCTATGTCTGCACTGGCAGGCAGTCCTTAACCTGAGAAAAATTATCCACGTATCACAACAAAGTGTTCAACTCTTGGCCAGAGCTCAGAAAGGGGGATTCACCCCTATCCAGAATTACCTCAAGAACTAGTATCTTTATGTTAACTTAGTTCAAGATATGCCTTTAAAAAATACCAGCAATAATCAAGAAAACGTGATTTAAATTGTCCAGTTTAAGTACGGGTTGCTGAAAAAAGTCCGTAGAAGAATATGATTTAACAACTTCTGTGTTCCTTCCATTTGAGCACCAAATCGACCATGCTTCAGCAGGTGCTAACTTCCACCGCCTCTACATCCTGTGCAAGACCTGGGAACACCAGCAAAGCATGGGTAAAAGCACCCAGACAGGAGTAGGCTACTGCATAGCAACAAGTTGTAACTAGCCATGAACTACCTGAGTAGAGTGCTCCGTAAGGAACAAAGTGGGGCAGAGAGGGGGAATCATCTTTCAGTAAGCACACATTGGGGTATTTAAAAGTCAGGTTAAAATGTCCTCTCTTAGGTGACACAGGCACAGAGAACTGAGTAAGACAGCAACAGCTTACATGTTATATTTGTCTAATTGCACAAAGATGACTTGTCAGAAAGTCAAACACCTGTGACGTAGAAAATGCTCAGTAGAAAAATACTGAGATTCTTTTCAGGCCCTGACTATGAAACAACCACGTCATAGTGTTTTAGTTGATATATTTGTTTTTAAGATAAGATAACATAAAGAAGAAAAAAAAATCCATGACATTCAACTGGAGCACCAAGATATTTCCTTCAGCTTTTGAGACTACATAGGTCTGCACGTTTCCTTAGACCTGCATACACTATATGCTGTACTTTGCAGCTAAGAATAAATTCGTGGTATTGGCAAGGAAGATTTCAGGAATATTCTGCACAGGAAATTAAGTTACAAAATTTTAACCAGATGCAAAGCCTCCAAGTACTGTAGAACTACCCAGTTACCAAAAAAAAATCTGACAGAGGATTGGTCTATAAAGTTTCACACTGTACAACAAATTCTGTAGTAAGTCATTAAGCAAGCACATTCATAACCAGGCATGCATATTATATTAGTCTTTATTGCATATGTTAGCAGTATGACGTGTTTGGTAGACCAAACGCTGCATATGAAGATTTGTTGGTAGAGCTTAAGTGACTGATAAATGCTGAGCCTTTGTAGTTGACATTTTCCAGAAAAACAGCCATAAAAGCTTAGTGGAATGAGAACATAAAAGCAAACACTCATGGCATACACTGATCTCAAAGTAAGCAAAAAACCCCTACATTCTTAAAGCTTAGTGAATGAGAACATAAAAGCAAACACTCATGGCATACACTGATCTCAAAGTAAGCAAAAAACCCCTACATTCTTAACTAGGAGAAGCAGCATAATGGAATTTTTTCTTTTTTTAAGGAATCTTATTAGTTGAAGCCAATACAGGAATGACAGAGACAGGCCAAACTGACTAGTGGAAGCACAACACTCTGGGCAGAAGTATCACAGAGGCAAGTACACTCAGTTCTCTCAACCTTGAAGTCAGATTTTTTCATAGTCACATCACTTAAGGGACACGTCACTACCAAAATGAATAGAACTACAAGACCAATGAAAAACACGAACAGTCTGACATTCTGACAGCTTCAAGCTTTGTACAGATTTCCACAGAAGTTCACAGAAGGGCAACAAGATTCCTTGGGCATAAGAAAAGCAAATACAATTTCACTATGAGAAAGATTAGCCCTGTTATGCAATCTGTTTCAAGAAATCAATTTTATATCCTAAGACTACAATTCTGTTTCATTTTTATAATGCAAATTCCAGTCATTCACCAATTTATTAATTTCTTCAGGTACCAGTTTTACATACTGAAATCACAGAAACCAGGACCAGACCAAACACTTGGTAGAGGGACCCATTCACGTGCCTAGTTATCTGCAGTCATCATTCCACTTTCAAACCATAAGCAATAACGTGTGGCACAAGACATGGCTGCAGCAAGTTGGCTGTCCAGTGGCATAAGCACGGGTTAATTAATCCAGTCTAGATCTGACCTACTCTCACTCTCTACAACTGCAGTGTAATGATCCTGTTTGCCATTCCTGTATGCAATGTATATAAAACATACATGCAGGTTAATTTATGAAATTCACATGACAACAATCCATGCACATATTTGCTAGAAAGCTGAAATGCTGTACCAAGAAGAAGAATGCTGGCATTACCACTAGTTAGTACAAACTGTAGATGTGGAGAACTGCTAGCTTAGAGCGCTTTCAGAATTTTGAATTATCCACTCAATAGCATCCCACCCCTGGAGTAACACAAAAAAGATTTACAACATATGGCAAATGAGTTTTCCATCGTCATTTAAAAGAATAATGCGTCATCTGCCACCTCTACCTCAGAGCACAATCTCAATACTTACTTCCTGTTTCTTCAGAACAACAAAACATTTTTCAGCAACTTTCATGACGTTTAAAAGGGGTGCTAAGAGCACAGACGCACAGCACAGCATGCGGGAAGAGCTAGTAATAGCAGAGTAGGTTACTGCTAGCAAAGAAAGGGCTGGGGACAGCAAGTACAAATTCCTGCCAAGTTCAAGATCTCTAAAGAGACTCTTCAGTGAAACACACAAGACAAGAAGGTCTTTTTGATTTGCAAGAAGCTTGTGAGCCAGTGTGTTCCTTGAAAATGGCAGAACAGAAGAACAATCTCTAAAAGAAATCGAGCTCTCACACAAGCAGCACCTGAATAGGTACCAAGGAATATTTACACTCTTTCTCCGAGTTCAATAGAGACATGCAAACATGACAGATGTCACGAAGAATTCAGCCAGCACTTTTAAGCATGCCTAGTTGATCTGTCCATTCCAACTAGCTAGTGCTTTGCTACCTCCGAGTCAGACTGAGTTTGGTTGTGAGCCAGGGTTTGGACTTCTCTTTCAAGAATATATGCCCCACACAGACTTCTAAATGGAAACTGGATCAGAACAGAATTGTAATTTATCTGAAATACGTTCCATTTATGACTTTCACACAAACACAGAGAGCACTCAGCTAGTTAAAGTTACTCTTCAGTGCCTAGACATTACCCATCACTCCTTCCCCATTCCCCGATTTTAACCTGTTTTCCTCTCATTTTTGGAGAAGCACACAGAAGGGAGGAAAAGGAGGCTTTCTCCTCTCTGATCTAGTTGGTCAATACCTCCTATCAAGTTGGCTTACACTGCCTTGGTCAAGCAAGATCTCTCACAAGGACAAAGGGCTGGCCAAAGCACAGGCTTTCTGGTATATCAGGAGTTACCTGGGCCAGATTCCCACTGTGCTGAACCTCTCCAGCAATGCAGAGCACAAACTCAAATTTCAGGTGCGCTCATCCTGCTGTTAGGCAGTGATGCCCATGCTTCTCTAGCAACCCCAGTTCTTTCCCACCTTCCCCAAAGAAGGATAAGACAATGTGCCCAAGAATAAGCACTCCTGTAGCTCTGCCCGTGCTGAAGTACAGCTCCATGGCTGCAAGCCAAGTAGAAAAAGCAAGCACAAGACAGACAAGTCGGTGTAGTGTTACCTAAAAAGCCAGTATAGTTTCATCTCTTCAAAGAATATGCCTCTGCTTACACTACCTTACTTTCAGCCAAAGGCAAGGAGACAGCTCAATAATGGATGGGAACTGGAACAACTGACAAAGCAGCACAGAAAATATGCTAGCATTAACTGCTAAATCCAAATTATAAAGGCTGAAAAGGAAGTTATATTCAGTACTAGCACTAACTCCTGGAAATAGGAGGTTAGTGTTTAGAAAGGTGCTTTGGAAAAAAGAAACCCCAAAAACCAATAATATGTCTATGCTATGTGCAACTGTAGCATACACACAGAAGTTTGTTTGTTCTGATGTGCAATTCTAGTTGAAAAACAAAGATTTAGTAGTGAAACCTTTTCATCCTTTGGGAAATTATATTCTACTTGCTGAGGTCCTACAAAAAAATCAGCTGAAACTGTGCACAAAGTTTAGAGATATTAAATATAGTATCAGCACACATGACTGACAATTACTGTTTCAACAAAAAGAAAGGTAGGGGTGGGGGGAGAGAGGGAGAAAACAGAATAAAAATGTACCTTTCTGGCATTAGAAGATATTGTGTTTGCCATTAAGCTTTCCAGATAACTGCTCAAGCTAATGCCTTTAACAGTAATAATTGCTTCTTGAGTTAGCACAGTTCTGTAAGAGAATAAAGAAATGTTAATACCTAAACTGAATTGGACTAACACAATGCCTCCTATACACAAAGAAGCACACAAATATCCTTACTTACTTTTCAGGGTTTTCAGGATGAGGTGTGTAAACCAGTCTCTCATCAACAGACACCAAGTTTGTGAGAGTAATCTTAAAAAGAAAAAAGAGCCGAAATCCTCACTTCCCGCCTTTCATTTTTCTGTTATCAACAGCACTACTCAATAGTAGAGCACTCAATTTAATGTCAGAGACAAAGCAGTGTACGCAGAATATAAAACCCAGAACACAGTCAATAAAAAGATCTATAAAGGGTGATGCATCTTCTCCTATCCTAGATCTAATTATATCAATCTAAGTTCCTATTCACAGTACAAAGCACAAACAGCTTTCCATTTGTTTTCTCTGAATGTGGAGTCTTACCTGATTTATGGCATGCAATTCAGAGAGGCTCTTCAAGACCAAGACCACCATAACACTATTTGGAGCGTACAGAAAATTAAGACTCAGGAAAGGCAATGCCTCTTGTACAGAGATGAGGCTCTCCTACAGACAACTCCACTTTAAATCTGATAGTTACAAGTTCCCAGGATACCAAAATACAGCACAATATTTCATTTACATTTTGTGAAAAAAGGCATTTCAAATTAAAACTTTTGTTGTAAATGGCAGTGTAATGTAGAACAAGTTATTAATCTAAAAGTCAGACTACTTTACATCCATTCTGAGAAATAATCTTACATTAAAAACAGAATCACAAATGTTTGATGCCAGAGTATTTAAAGTTTCCTATTTGTGGGAAGAAGTAGGAGGGGAAAAAAGAGAGCCAACTAAGACATGGAAATTGCCGCCTCCGGATGAAAGATGCAAACACATTTCTAATCTAAAATGTTAAGAGTAAAACATCTCATCTCCAGAACTAATTACCAGAAACTTCTTAAGCTACCACTCACATTAGTTGAGCAAAGCTCCATCTTTTTTTCCACTGGATCTACCACAGAATGTTCCTCAATGTACGTCAGAGTTCTACTTGTTCCTAAAATCTGAAAGTGAAGAAATAAAAAAATTTAAAAAGTACTAAAATTAAAACAAAACAAAACAAAAAAACCCTCAACAAACAAAAAACCTGAAATGCATAAATGTCAAGTTCTTAGTGACCCCAAATAAATACAAAGTAATTTGTGGATACCAGAACACTGTGATCAGTGGCAAGACTACATCCTGGTAGGTTGTATCAGTCATATAGCATGACACAGACCAGTCTGGAAGGCTGTGTATAGGCTATACACACACTATAGGCATATTAAAGCCTACAACGTATTCTTGCTACAAAGTACGCTAATTACAGCTTATGTGATATTTGTGGATGATATTTCCTATAAATTAAGCTTTTACTTTGAATTCAGCTCCAAATCGGATGATGACATAAAAATGCATCACACCCTTAATAAACCATTAAGACTGTAAAAGCGTACCGCTTTTACAATACTTGGCAATCCCCACTCTGTGCTGAGAAGACGGTGACTATGCAACCTCCCCTGGTTATCCAGGCTTCTGTTGAGGACATCTACTCCTACCACACACGGATTCATTGGGTTGGGGTACTTTCTCATAGCAGCTTTGATCACTGTATCCCAGGGGTGTCTGTAAAAAGAAGAGGAGACAATATTTGTAACTATTGTGTATTTAATTGCAAGTATTCAGACAACACTAAATCAGGGATCTAGCTTGCGTAATATGGCACATGCTGTACAACTTCATAGCTCGCAAAAGTCCCTTCAGAATACAGTGATGCTTGGAAAGGCAGTAAGAAAGTATTGACACACAAACAGAAAAAAAAAATATTCCTTTCTACAGGGTGAAGAAAGGAATTATTAACCCAAGTCTAACAGAAATAAGGGCAAGGGGCAACAGTCACAAATTGCTGCAAGTGACATTCCCATTAGCTGTGCAAAAAACCCACAATGACAGGGTAGCTGTCCACAGAGACTGTTGAATCTCGATTCGCTTCAGAACTCAACCGGAAAAGCAACCTGACCTAACCTTTAAGTTAGCCCTGCTTTGAGAAGGAGGCTGGACTAGATGACCTCCAGAAGTCCACTCCAATACAAATTCTTCTATAATTCTAAGCACACCAGATAAACTAAAGAAGAAATCATTAGCTTCTATTTCTTCCTACAGCACAAAAGCAAAGTGAAATTTAATTCAACTAAAAAAAAAATCAGGAAGTTCAAAATAAAAAAACAGGTTTTCAGAAACCATATCAGCTCACTGCCTTAAGTCTGCACCTATAACACTGCTTCCAGCAGCTTGTTACCATATATTAATTACATTTATAGACACTCTTCTCAATACAGAACTGTTTTTATGAAACAAGTTTTGATAATCTTAAACTCCTGGGGTCAGAGCAGCCCCACTACTGGAGGCCAGGCTGTCCACAAGGCTCTTGTTGTGGGACTTCATGTATCTTCTTCTGAAATAGAGGAGGCTAGATAAATCATGGACTTGATCCAATACAGAAATTCTGTCCCGAAGCAATGACTTCTATATTCAGAATAACTGATAGATCTGGAATGAAAGGTTTATAACCTTTAAAGGTACCTTTAAAAACTCAACTATTGATATCTAACTTAAGAAGGGTTAGGGGTGCCAACTTGTACATAAGAGTTGCACTTAGGGCCCTCAATGGATTTGATTTTTAAGAACACTACTTTTAGTCTTAAAATAGACCGATACAGAAGGGCATCAACAGTACACCACCGCCAGAACAAACAGGAGCTTGGAAAAATAAGTTCTTTTTCCAAGAAGAGTAAGAAAAGGTCTTTCAGCTTTATTGGTGTGAGCAGGAAAAAGAGAGCCTTCAATTCCTATATCAGGAGAGCTGAAGGACCATTCCTTGTTATCTTCAGTGACTATACATCATCAACAGAAGATACACAAACTGAAAAGGTCAAATTTCTGTTAAGTGTCCTTGAGGGATTTTAAGAGTCAGAGATCTGATAAGGCACAGTGATATTTTATTAACCCCTGAGCTGAACCACCTACACCCACACACATTACACCATAAGATGGGGGCGTTCCAACAGAGATCTCAATGAGAAAATGCCAAATAAAGATCGAGTTTGTGTCTCCCAAGTGACAGACATTAATCTCAAACTCAGAAGTTACGCCATACACAAGCAGCCTTTACTAGCCTCTGCCTGCCATTTCACATTAGAAGCTATTGCGTACTTATACCAGATTAAGGTTAAAGTTGAACACCTAACACCTATGTCAGCATAATGAACTCGGTTGTGTTAATGTAATTAAAGAAGTTTAAAGCTGCACATCTGGGATATTTTGTAAGTATTTTAAGAACTATATCACCCCTGGTGCTCTTCAAGTTTCGAGATTTTTAAGAGACCTGTAGCAGATGAGTTATCGGTGGCATTTTAAGAGCTGCACTGGAACTGCCGTGTCCCCCACGTCAGCTCCCCGGTATAGCTTGAGCAAGTGTTACATACCTGTTGATGCTTTTGCCTACTGTTCCGTCGTTATACCAAAATGGAGTTGGATGGCCACAGCCATGTTCAAAATACGTTTAATGCAGAGAAGGACTGACGGTAAGAAAACTTACTCAGCTATCACTTAATGGCTGTCTGCTAGGCACCTCTGTGAGAGTATCTGACAGCTAAGGTAAAATACAGTCACTCTGTCCATATCTCTTGGAATATATCATCAAGTACGTCAGTAGTTTGGGATTTTTTTTTTGACAGCGTGTAAGATGTTTTTCATTTAATGCCAACATCTTTATCAAGCAATTACGCTGTCGGGCCAGCTCTACCACTGCCCTGTTGGAATGGTATTTCCCGCTGCAATCGGCAGGAGGTGGGAGAAACCCTCACACGGCGTCCGACCACGCAGGGAAAAGCTTAAGGCGACGAAGGACCGGCAGCGGGGGGCGCGCTGACGCACCGCCGGGGACCGTCCCCAGACCCCCCCACCCCCCACCGGAGGATTTAACGCCAACAGAAG